GCGCATGCCAGACCTATTGTACATATTTTTAGTGGTAGGGGAAACCGGAGTACCCGGAGGAAACCTACGCAGACACGGGGAGAACATGCAAACTCCACTCAGAAAGGCCCTGGTCCGGCCGGGATTCGAACCCAGGACCTTCTTGCTGAGAGGCAAGAGTGCTATCCACTCAGCCACCGTGCCGTTTTTCACTTTGTGTTGCTTGTATTTCCAAATGAAGTCCATGAATATTTTATTAATTAGTGGACTAGAAACAAGACAGGATTTATTTGCTGAAAATATTCATTCCAATGAGGGGCCTATTTTTCTTTTTATGAATTGAAAGTTAACAAAAAGAGAAATGGGGCGATTGGGCAGCCCGGGCGGACAGACCTTTTTACGGGAAATCTAGCAGTCGCTTATGGATATAACATGGCGGAGCTGTCGATATTATTGTATAGTCATTTAATTATTGTTACAAAGTTGGGCCCAAAACCATAACAGTCTAGAACTTGAAAGAGAAAATGGTGTTCAATGATGTCAAATGCCTTATAGAAGTTCAGAAAATTGATAAATGCGTCAGTCGATATGTACTCCGAGTAGTCCAGTAAGTCCAGGATGAGTCTAATGTTGGAGCTTATGTGTCTGTTCGCCATGAAGCCAGTTTGAGTTTCACTAACGACTTCATGAAGTCCACTTTTTAGTCTAAGAGCAAAAATGTATGTGAATATTTTTTTTTCCTTCAGAAGAGGAATTGGCCTCCAATTTTCTATCAGCTCTTTTTCTAACTGTGATGCTGTGAATAAAGACACCGTTCTTGTTGGAAACATAGTTATTATGAAATTGTATTCAGCACAAACAGCAAAACAATAAGTGGTAAATATCTGAGGCAAACATGAACGATTTACGAGTGCAGGCGGAATGCAACAGACACGATAAGCTACGATTCAAACAAAGACAGGAACAGTGCAAAAGAAACGACTTCACAGTTTATAAGTTAGCTATATGTTAGATAGTCCACAGTCTCCGCGTATATCAGGCTCTGCCATGAGCCCAAACTGCTTTTCCTTTGGTTTCTTCGAAGCACGCTCTGCTCCAAAATGCCTACCTTTTATCGCTGCACCATTGAGAGTTTACTTGTTGGTTCTGTGTCTGTGTGGTTTGGAAACATCACAGATAAAGAAAAGAGAGCTTTAAACAAGGTGCTCCGCTCTGCAAAGAGGACCGTGGGCTGTGAGCTTCCTGTTCTGGAGGTTCTTTATAAATCCAGACTTTTAAACAAAGCTCTTAGGATTGTCAATGACTCTTCTGGCCACCCTGGGAAAGCCATGTTCCAGCTTCTTCCCTCTGGCAGAAGATATCGCTCTCTGAGATGCAGGACATCTCGTTATGCTAACAGTTTTTATCCACAAGCTGTTATCAGTGTGAACAGAGCACTTTAATGATTTGCACTTGTTTTAAAACTGTTTTAGTCGATCGATTTCACAGTGACATTTGTTTACTGTTTTATTTGTTTTATTTTTGTCTTTTAATGTTTTATGTCTGTATTTGTCTGTGCACACTGGTGACTTTTGCTAATGTATTCCTATGTGGTGTTTTTACTGCAAATGGCAAATAAACTGAATCTGAATCCTGCAGCCGCTCCATGCTTCCTTCCAAAACACACACGGACCAATCACAGCGGAGGTAGAAAATTTTGAGGGTAGTTAGAAAATTTTGAGGGTGCGCGGCAGGCTACGTAAGGGCCTTGCGGTGGTCCACGCATTGCGCAAGTGACCTCACGTCACCACCGTAAGCTCCGCGCGAGTATACACTAGGCTTTACACTTCGTAGCAGACCTTAGATGTGTTAATGAGTTTGCCCCAGGATCAGTGGGGGTCTAACGACACCTAGAGGTTATAAATCTCAAACTCGGGCTGGGCTTTCATTCCCTTGAAAAAGTTCTTTGGAAAAGAACGCAACGTCGAGAAAACCTGTCAACTGAAGTACAGATGATGGGTGGGAAACCTTCCTTTGTTTTATTACCGATTTATAATCCAAAATACTCAATTTTATTTAAGCTTTGCGTGTGTTTTAAGTATAGGAAAACCATAACATGTTCCATATTTATAGCAACAACAACCTTATACAAATATGAACATACATCTCAGTAATGGAGAGACAGTATCCTTAGTAATGAGACATAGCCATTTTTTTTTAACACACTATTGTTGATCGGCTTGGATACGGCTTGGATACATTAATTGGATTTAATTTTTTATTTCTATTATTAACTGACAAACAAGCGACAAGCATATTCAATACTGCTCCCTGGAGTGTTTCAAGTCTTGTCTTAAGACCCTTTTTTATGCTCTAGCTTTTAACACTGCAAGAGTTGTAGGGTCCTTTTTGTTTTATTATTGTTATTTTTTTACTTACATACATGCACACACAATTTGATTTTGAATAATTTTTCTGTTTTACAATGAATTTGTTTTAATTTGTATTTTATTGTGCAGCACTTTCAAACAGTTTATGAAATATGGTTTATAAATAAAGTTGATTGGATTTGATTGGATTGTTCAATTCTCTTGACCAATGAAATGCATCAGGATAAACCAGATGAGATTTTTCCCAGGTTCTGCAAATTTCAGATCTGCATATTTCTCGCGGAAAATGACCGCGGGCACATGCTGTTGTTTGCTGAATGTACTCGATCAGGATTCACATACTCCGTTCTGGCCTGGGACAGCTGTGAGCCGCTTTGACAACAGCTCAGCGAACGCCCAGCTGTTCCGTGGTAATGCACCGAGCGCTGCCCATAAATGCACGCACTGGACCGTGACGCACAGACAGGACCATCCCCACCTTGTTGCAGGTGCCCCCTCCCGAAGCTAGGGATGTAAAAAACTATGAATTTTCATGACCGACCACCGAGCCTCATTAACCGGTTGAAACCGGTTAACGGCGTAGTTAAAAATATTCCACGATCTTTGAAATAACAGCCATTTCGAGCCGCATACTTTTCATAAGTGCAGCTCTGCGTTCTACTGGATCAGAACCGAGACAGCGGCGCCAAAACTCGCAACAGCTACGGCAACTTTGCGCACAGAGAACTGCTTTTTTAATCTCTCCATACTTCTGTGCTGCAGGTTAAAGCTTTTTAGCAGCAAAACACAACTCGTCCACATGGTCAGAGCAGCGGGTGACGAGCCGCATCTCGCAAGTCTCCTCTAAAGTTTAAATACAAGTTATGTGTTGAGCTGATCTAATGCCAAGGACCAGCAGCACAAAAATGCTCCCATGTGATTTGACTGGAGCCGCGTATTTGGATCCTTTGGGCTCCGTGACACAGAGGAGCGCGACAGACCGGTATGTGTGTATATGTATGTGTGTAAATGTAAGCTCCAATGTTGTTCTAACCCTCGCTAGTGTGCAACTTTGGCGGACAGAGGGGAGAGATGATGCGTGTGGATGTTACGTATCAATGGAGGGGGGGAGGGGGGGAAGAGTGTGTGTGTGTGTGCGTGTGTCTGTGTGTGTGTGTGTATGTGTGTGTGTGTGTGTGTGCATGTGGCGCGTGCGGCATGAGAGTCGGCTCGGAGTTTACTGACACATTGGCGCACACTGCTAGAGACAGACCCGCTCGCCACACCATGCAAATAGGGCTTAAAATAGCGTTATTAAGAGACCTCCTCCTCCCCCTTTTCTTTTTTTTAACCGACAGCTTTGACCGGTTAACGCTGTGACGGTCAACCACCGGTTAAACGGTCACCGATTTACATCCCTACCCGAAGCGCAACCAAAACTCACTGAATTAAAGCCGAGGTACTTAAAATGTCATCATTAGGTTGTTTGTCCGGTCAGGTCGTTTGTCTGGTCTTTGAGTCTGCTTGTAAGGGACCTGGTCCGCTGCATCTTCAACCCTACGTTCTAGGCCATTCTTGTTTCCATAATAAAAACGTCAGTGTTTTATCCAAAACATACTGTGTTTATCCAAACTATCTTGTGATATGTATGTAACTGCTCTCTGCTGTTTATTCTACTGTTTGACGCATGGCGCTGTAAAGATGGCGCCGTGGCAAGAGCTCTGGTGTGTGCCGTCCTCTCTGTCTGGTGCACACTGGGGTAGTCTTGCACAGTTTTTCCAATGTGGTTTTACTGCAAATGGCAAATAAATGAATCTGATCTGAATCTAGGCTAGACTAAAACAGACTTTAGCATATGGTTAGGAAGATAAGACTCAGGGAGGGCTAAAAATCTTACACTGTCAGTCAAGCTGAGTAGGGAGTCAGTTTGCTGGGAGAAGCATGGTAACTTGAGCTCTATCCTCCCCTCCTTCCTACTTTATCTTAGGATTTTGACTGTAGTTTGTTCATTGCTATTCACCCGTTGTCCCATTGTCTGTTTCATGGTGCGACGACGGGACCTCTGGACCTGGCCTCCTCCATCTACACCTATCTCTTTCAGTCCTGCATCGGACCTGCCCACGTTCTGCGGCCGCTGCGTGGTCCTGGTCCACGTTCTGTAGCTTAGGTCCTGGATCTATAGCCTGTCCGTCCGTGTGGAGTGGATCCCTCTCTCAATGTGGGTCTCCCCGAGGTTTGTCACTTTTTCCCACTGGGTTTTCTTATGAGGAGGGTCTGTTGGGCAGTTAGTGTCTAACAAAAAGGACTGTGGTGATGATCGAGGACACTTTAACATTCTACAACATGTATGGAAATTTTTCAACATATATTCTATATTCTTTTTTTGTGTTTTAACAGTTGATTCTCTGATCTGTGTTGGTGATTTCAATGGTTTTGTGAAGTCCTCTGAGATGACTACTGTTGTGATTTAGGGCTATACAAGAATAAATTGTATTGTAATTGTATTGTATCATATTTTTGACCATCAGTTTGATGACTGCCTTCTATTACAGTCATCAAATAAAAGTATACAATATACATTTGACAGTTGTAGGCACCATTCACATTTCAGACACAGAACTCTTACAAACTACAGTTCTGCTTTTCCAGAAACATCCAAGTCACATATAATACCTTCGACAGACTGTGTACATGCGGTTGACAGTGGAAATCCTGAAGGGCTCATTTTTGGAGCGCGTCAGGCTACTACTGAGCGTGCCCAGTCCGAGGCGCTGGTAGTCACGACAACAGGCTCGCTCCACCACGTTACTCATCGTCTGTCTGTCGGATGAGCGCATGGTTGAGGACAGGGTCATAGCACTGGGCTCCACCTCCTCACAGACTGAAAACACACACACACACACACACATACTCATGCTTAACATAAAGAGCTGTGGTCTGATTTGTTTAAACATAGTTTTAACCATGAAATGTAATAGTTAGGTTGCCCTAGAATTAATTTTCAAATGTAGGATATGATCATTGTGCATGTATGAAGCACATTCTGGATATAATGTGCAGTACCTGAGATGTCGTCGTCATCGAGCTCAGAGTGGAAGCTGCCGCGGTTTTCCCAGGTGGGTGGCGCGTACTTCTTCCTGCTCACATACTGACGACCGATTGTCCGCTTGGCACTCTTCACAAGGTTTTTGGACAGGGTTCTGAAAACACGTAGATCTGACTTTACTATAGGCCTTTGCACACGGCACACTCGTGTTTTAGACCAGTATTGAAATCCTGTGTCGACCCAGGACAAAAGTGGAAGGTTGGTGCGTTGTTTGAACGTGTCAAAATAATAATAATCTGACTTACAAAATACGTTTTTAAAGTCACGGACCGAGTGTCCAGGACCAGAGGGGATCACATTATAAGGGACAACAGGAAGTTCTGAAGGAGTGTGTTTAAATCATATATTTTGAACTATTTGCAGCAGCCCGCAAGTATTTTTCAATGACCAAATAGTGCGGCTATTTAGATGCAATGAAAGCAAACCGTTTTCTTGGACGGTTATATGTGGTTAAGGGGTTGAAGATACGAGTCACACAAGGGACAATACTTTACATTATAACAGCATAAAAAGCCACAGAGCACTGTTTGGGTGTGTTAAAATGCATCAAAATCTTTAATTGCTCCAGGATGATATCAAGCTTGATCTAGTCAACTGGTCTTTGGTCCTTTGAACACTGTTGTCCCGAGTCGACACTGACAGATTTAATGATGCCTGTGCGTGTCTAATGGTGCTTTCAGACAGCAAACGCTCAAACACTGAAGCCTCGCTCACCAGACGCCGCATTCTCTAGTTTTCAGACGCAGGGGTCTTCACACCAGAACGTCCTGGTGCGCGCCGGAAGTGGCGGAAGTAGCCGGCTGGCTCTGATGCTAACAGAGTTATGCTAGCGGCTTCTCGTGTAAAGATCTTCTCCAATAATGCAGCTTTGCAGGGTGTCTGTGTTCAGAGACCTTCCATGGACTTTATATAACAGTAGTATGTGTTCACGGTGCGCAATAAGTTTATTTTATTATTAAACGGTACTTCCGCATTGGCGAACACACTCACCGATGCGGAAGCAGTTGCATAAAGTCGAAGCAGTTGCATAAAGTCACGGGAGCATGACAACGCATATGTTCACAAGCACACATACCCCCATTGTCAGCTCTGGTTTTAAATTGTGGTGTAGCTCCTGTTTTTTTGCTCCTGTGGGCATCCATGTTCCGCTCCTGCTCCTCCTCTTTGACTTTCCCGCGCAGTCCGTGCGTCTCTACTGAACAGTCCATTCGTGCTTCCCGAGATGTTCGTGCGTTGTGACGCTCGAACGCGCGTCACCATAGACTTTGCATTGAAAGCCGACGCAACGCATGATCCGGTCTGAAAGCACCATTAGGCTGCGGTCAGAAGCACAACTTAAAGCCCGGTTAAAGTGGGCCTAGGCCCAGATTGCGATCAAATCCAGGCTTTAGGTGCAGTGTGACCACAGCAACTGGGCTTAAGCACGGTTGCAGCAAACGTGCTTGGGCACGGTTTTAAAGAAGTACACCTGAGCACGGTTGTAAAGTTTGTGTAACACCTTTCATGTAAGCCCCCGGACCGTGGCAAAGGGGTGCAGGGGAGATTTGTCGCTTCAGGGTCGAAGGGATGTGTTTCCTACAGGGTATAACTACCCTTTATCACTCTCTCTGTCACAGTGTGGTGCTATTTCAATAACACTTTAGACTGTTATTCAAGAGCCAGACTTGGCCAAAACAAACCAACATACACTTGTAGTCATTCTCATTCCTTCATTTCTTAGGCTGACGCCGTTTACTCTAAAGGCGCGCTTTGGTGTCCACCGCGCCGGCGCGCACGCACACGCACACGCACACGCACACAACACACACGTTACCCACTATGCTGCTGCACATTGGCGAACGACACATCTCACACTTGTACAGATTGACTGATTGTAAAGAACGCAATCCATGCTGGAGCTGTTGGCAACAGTAGGCAAGTGTAAACAGGAAGAGAAAGGAAACTTAGCTCGAACCACCAGTTGCTGTATTATACCGCCTTTGGGTTTGCACAGTTGAAAAAATAAACCCTGGTGACCGCAGGCCTTCTTCACACCACTGTGGGTGACGATCCAGGCAAGTTGGCCTAGTTCGTTTGTGAAAACTTCTGTGACTGTGCCCTTACTTGTAGGGGTAGGAAGTGTGCAAAATATTTGAGGATTTGATAATATTGCGATGTTTGGGTCAGAATTAAGACCTCCATCCATCCATCCATTTTCTTCCCCTTAATCCATTTCTGGGTCGGCGGGGTGGCAGTCAGAGCTGCACCCAGTACACTTAGCACCAGCCCCTCACTGATCCTCCTGCAGGTGGTGAGTCCACAGGAGCTGAGATCTTTCAGTGGGAGCTTCAGGCAAAGTGGGGTTAGGTGTCTTGCCCAAGGACACAACGACAGTAGTCATCAGTGGGAGTCGTGAAGTAGGTCTTATGGTGGGCTTGAACCCACGACCTTCAGGCCCAAAGGCCAATGCTCTACCAACTGAGCTACTGACGCCCCATTAATTAAGACCTAACACAGCATATTTTATTTAATGATTAATGAATAATCCAATATTTTTGTAGGGCTGTCTGTAATTTCAAGTGAAAACATTTTTTAGCAGTCCTGAACATTAAATGAGTAATTCAATATTTTCTTATGACTGCCTTATGTGCAGGCCGCTTCTAATACCAATCATCCAGGGGGCCAATATAATTCATTCGCGGCCCAGAATTGGCCCCCAGGCCTTGACTTTGACACCCATGGACTACAGTAACAAAAAGGAGACATAATGGCGTAACATACACCTCAGATGTAAACTCAGATTACCAGAGTAAACTTTTTCGCCCACCACTACTTACTTGAGAGACTGGTTCTTGTCTTTGGCCTTGTGCTCCACCACCATCTTGACACTCTGTCCTGCGGTGAAGGCAAAAGTTCCCTGGACGTGGGGAGGGTAGCGCAGTTTGTGCACATGTTTCCTGAACACTTCAGCCAAGTCCGATGCCACTTCCTCATCAAACGCAATCTTTATCAGCTGCAGAGGAAGAAGAATCAGGGTTATCACGCTACTATGCTGTTATGTCTATTGAAGCAGAAAGCACATGGATGGCACACAAGCCCCTTTTGATGGTCATTACAATAGATGAAGACGAACCATAACCCTGAAGATCAGGACTAGGGGGTACCTGAAAGGTGCAGGAGCGCAGCTGCAGTCCCTCTTGTACAAACTGGTCCATGGGCAAAGACACAGAGATCCTCTTCTCTTTGGTGAGAGAGGCGATGGGGAAGGAGCGCGTCACCACCTGCTCTCCCACTGCACACACAACACACAGACTGAAGACAGGGCCATGACTGCACACAGCACACAGACTAAAGCACAGCTGCTGACGAAGTCACAAGGGACAGATCATCTGATCGAGTAAACACAGCAAAAAAGTTATTGGTACAACTCTCATGTTGAGACAACAACTGGATTCATTTGGGACTAAACAGCAAGGTTTTTTAATTTGACTGGATTTGCTGCAAAATGCATTTGGACACAAGATAAATGGGGCAATGATATTAACAGAGAAAAGTAACAAATTCTCCACAAAAGGTGAGTAAAGTATATATAGTTATAAGCATAATAGCTAGTTTTGCTATTTTCCTGTTTCTGATTCTCATGTCTTTGTCCTTCCGCTATTGATGCTTTTAAGCTGTTTTAAAAGCTAAAAAATGATATGAAATCTTTCACATAATAGCAGCTCACACACTAGCATCCAAACTTTATCCGATTTTTGGAATAAACGATTCTCTTGTGTGAGGACTTACACTGGACTGACAACTGCCTTTAGATATTGTTTGTTGGGAAAAAAAACTTCAGCATATTAAAATGAATCAAATCATGACCCTTGTATCGCAAAATATGTATCAAACAGTGACTTCAGTGTATTGTTACATGCCTAGACGGACACAGCACACAGACTAAAAGTAGGATACTGAAGAGCACTGGACCAGTAGAAGACACAATGGATAAAAACCGAGAAGGATTGGGAAAGGAGAGGACCGGGGAAGGACCTAAGTGAGATTTGGGACAGGAAAGGGACTGGACCGGAGAAGGATAGGAAGTGGAAAGGGACTGGACCGGAGAAGGATAGGAAGTGGAATGGGACACGACCGGGGATGGTCCTGGGTACGCCTGGATCAAGTCCCATGGTTCAGACCCCGCCAAACAGGACAAATCACATTAAGTATATCCACATTGACACATTCAAACAGTTCATATCGGTCTATTACTGATGATTGCCGATTTGGCCAACTTCACCTTAACCAACTCCTTGAATATCAGGAAACAATGAATCAATGAGATTCATACATCATGGAGAGGAACACATACAATGATGTGAGGTTAGCTCAAAGTGTTCAAAAAGTGTACTTTTGCTTTCCACACTTGTTTTAGTCCTGTCAAAGTCCTGGTTCTGAAGCCCTGGTCTCTTACCCAGAGGATCGGTGGGCGTCCCTCTAAAGATGAGCCTATAGGTGGTGAGAAAGATGGCTCCCTCTGCGGGCAGCAGTGGGGGCCCTCCCATGAGCCCTGTGGCCTCCTCTCTTCCGTCCGGCATCAGATGAACCCTCATGCCCTCCATCACTAGCTCCTCACCAGGCAGCAGCATTGGTCGCAGAAGCTTCGGCTAAAAACGGGAAAACACAACTGTGTCACATCTGGACACTCACAAAATATTTGATTAGGAATAGATTAGACAAGTATAGTAAAATATGGTTTGTCAGAATGACGTGTTGGAAGTATGGAGTGATGGGAGACCAGCTGGAGTCAGTAGGGTTTGTGATGTAGAAGGCACTATCATTATTACACTAAAGAACACGTCTCTGTTCTGTGTTTTCAGAGCTGCTGACATAAGCTCAACATAGATTCAGTGGGGCAACCAAGTATTTAGTCAGCCACCAATTGTGCAAGTTCTCCCAAAAGATGAGGGAGGTCTGTAATTTTCATCATAGGAATACCTCAACTGTGTGTTAAAGCTGGTTCTAACTACAGTTCACCTGGACAAAACCATACAAATCAGACCAGGATTAAAACTGCTAACTGATTTGGAGACATTTTCAAATGCGAGCGATGGCCTCACTCTCTGTGCTCGCCCTCCCCGCACCCACGGAGCTTTCTCCCCCCACCACCCCCTCCTCCGCAGCCTGGGCTCTGTGCTGTTGTTAGCTTCGGAGCTAGCGTCTCACCATATGGAACAATATTGCACTTTTGCACATGGATGGCGTGACCATAGAATGAAAGAACCGGGAAGCGCCAGGAGGACGAGACTTTCTTTTGGATGGATGTTTCGCTGTGTAAGCCGTAACGATGACACAGGAAGTTTCAGGTTAGCCTCTGCCGCTTGTTGTGCTAACTCAGCTGTCGGTGCTAACAAGAGACCTGTAGCTTTTCTCAAGAAAGCGGGGACCAGCGGTCCGTTGTGATTGGTCATAATCGGGACCCGAAACACATTCTCTTCCTTGTTTCATGAAAACTCGATCTAAAATATAATGTCACGCCAGCACAAACCTGCGCTACTTATTCTTCAAAAGGATGTATATCCCAATGCACTGCATGGATATGGATTTAATTTTCGTAATGAATACAAAAATAAAGTCAGTTAGTGCGGCTTTAATTTATACTTTATAAATTTATACTAATCAGTAACATCAGCAGCTTTTTACCACCTAAAAAACATTGCCAGGATCAAAAACATATTGTCTAAAGCAGACTTGGAGATTCTTATCCATGCATTTGTCTCCAGTAGGTTAGACCAGGGGTTCCCAAAGTTTTTAGCCCGCGACCCCCATCATAAATGCCCTGCTAACCCGCGACCCCGGTTTCCCCTACCACTAAAAATATGTCCAATAGTTCTGGCATGTGCTTGCTGTACTGGTGACCCCGCTCCCATCTCTGTGTGGACTGAAAGACAATTGCCCAAAATTAACAATTGTAAACCGCTTTGAGACTCAGATCTGCAGTGAAAAGGCGGTATATAAATAAAGATTACTATTACTACTACAGGTCTGTCCAAACAGGCTGTAAAACAGCTGCAGTGCATTTCAAAATGCAGCAGCTCGAGTCCTGACTAGAACCAGGAAGTACGACCACATTACTCCAGTTCTCAGGTCTCTGCACTGGCTTCCTCTGGCTCAGAGAATAGACTTTAAAACAGCTATGCTTGTGTTAGTCCCATGTGAACCGGCCCGGACTCTGAGGAGCACAGGGACTGGACTCCTGTTAGTGTCCAGAGTCAGAACTAAACATGGGGAGGCTGCTTTTCAGATTCATGCTGCTAAAATCTGGAACAATCTTCCTGAAGATGTGAGACAGGCCTCCTCTCTGACAATGTTTAAAACCAGGTCAAAAACAGTTCTGTTTAGCTGTGCATACAACGGAGGGATTTTATATTTTTATCTTTCTTTTTAATGTTCTGTGATTATTTATGATTTTAATGCTTTCTTATTTTTGTTCAGCACTTTGAGTTGCCTTGTGTATGAATTGTGCTATACAAATAAACTTGCCTTGCCTGCAACGCAAGGAGCGGAGAATCTGCAAAGCTGGAGAATCTGGAGAGCCTTGCGAAAGTATTCGCCCCCCTTGAACCTTTCAACATTTCAGGCTTCAAACATAAAGATATAAAAATGTAATTTTTAGTCAAGAATCAACAAGTGGGACACAATCGTGAAGTGGAACAAAATGTATTGGATAATTTAAACTTTAACAAATAGAAAACTGAAAAGTGGGGCGTGCAATATTATTTGGCCCCCTTGCGCTAATACTTTGTAGCGCCACCTTTTGCTGCAATTACAGCTACAAGTCGCTTGGGGTATGTCTCTATCAGTTTTGCACATTGAGAGACTGGAATTCTTGCCCATTCTTCCTTGCAAAACAGCTCGAGCTCAGTGAGGTTGGATGGAGAGCGTTTGTGAACAGCAGTCTTTAGCTCTTTCCACAGATTCTCGATTGGATTCAGGTCTGGACTTTGACTTGGCCATTCTAACACCTGGATACGTCTATTTGTGAACCATTCCATTGTAGATTTGGCTTTATGTTTTGGATCATTGTCCTGTTGGAAGATAAATCTCCGTCCCAGTCTCAGGTCTTTTGCAGACTCCAACAGGTTTTCTTCCAGAATGGTCTTGTATTTGGCTCCATCCATCTTCCCATCAATTTTAGCCAGCTTCCCTGTCCCTGCTGAAGAAAAGCAGGCCCAAACCATGATGCTGCCACCACCATGTTTGACAGTGGGGATGGTGTGTTCAGGGTGATGAGCTGTGTTGCTTTTACGCCAAACATATCGTTTTGCATTGTGGCCAAAACGTTCGATTTTGGTTTCATCTGACCAGAGCACCTTCTTCCACATGTTTGGTGTGTCTCCCAGGTGGCTTGTGGCAAACTTTAAAAGAGACTTTTTATGGATATCTTTGAGAAATGGCTTTCTTCTTGCCACTCTTCCATAAAGGCCAGATTTGTGCAGTGCACGACTGATTGTTGTCCTATGGACAGACTCTCCCACCTCAGCTGTAGTTATCTGCAGTTCATCCAGAGTGATCAGGGGCCTCTTGTCTGCATCTCTGATCAGTCTTCTCCTTGTTTGAGATGAAAGTTTGGAGGTACGGCCGGGTCTTGGTAGATTTGCAGTGGTCTGATACTCCTTCCATTTCAATATAATTGCTTGCACAGTGCTCCTTGAGATGTTTAAAGCTTGGGAAATCTTTTTGTATCCAAATCCGGCTTTAAACTTCTCCACAACAGTATCTCAGACCTGCCTGGTGTGTTCCTTTGTCTTCATGGTTCTCTCTGCGCTTTAAACAGAACCCTGAGACTATCAAAGAGCAGGTGCATTTATACGGAGACTTGATTACACACAGGTGCATTCTATTTATCATCATCAGTCATTTAGGACAACATTGGATCATTCAAAGATCCTCACTGAACTTCTGGAGTGAGTTTGCTGCACTGAAAGTAAAGGGGCCAAATAATATTGCACGCCCCACTTTTCAGTTTTTTATTTGTTAAAAAAGTTTAAATTATCCAATAAATTTCGTTCCACTTCACGATTGTGTCCCACTCGTTGATTCATGACAAAAAATTAAAATTTTATATCTTTATGTTTGAAGCCTGAAATGTGGCGAAATGTTGAAAGGTTCAAGGGGGGCCGAATACTTTCGCAAGGCACTGTATGTGATGCGATCTAGGAAAACCCATCATATGGTGAAATTTGACCAACTTAAGATTCTGATACCATCTTAAAGCTGCTTTCTATCTCTTCAAATCTGTTTTCCTTTTTTTCATGGCATGTCTAACATGTTATCATTATCTGACGTTAGCGTTTTAACATGGTTTTTTAAACATGTTTAAAGATAGACATTCGAAATAGAATCACCAAAATCAAATATAACATGTTACATTTGAATTACTGTGTTATGGCACACAATTATTTTAGTCACTATGTTTTAAAAGATACATTTTTTTTTACTTTGGCACCAAGCAAACACTCATGAATTAGATGAAAATCAAGAATGTGTATATTCATTCAACATTCAATGAATTGAATTTGTTTAACATAACTTTTCCCCTTCTTTTTTTGTGTCTATCCCTTTATAAGTTACTGAACATTATATATGTATTAGACAATGCCAGTATTATTCTATCATTATGCAGTATATTATCAAATCACGCAGTAAAAATTAGCTAAATGAGCTTTAATTTTGTGAGTTTTGGTTGCGCATAGGAGACACGGGGGAGACCTGCACTTGCAGCAAGCTGGGGATTGTCCTGAACGCTTGTCAATGGTTCTGTCCGCAAGTGTATGGTCCTGTCAGCGTGTCTATGGTCCTGTCAGCGTGTCTATGGTCCTGTCTGCGTGTCTATGGTCCTGTCTGCGTGTCTATGGTCCTGTCTGCGTGTCTATGGTCCTGTCTGCGTGTCTATGGTCCTGTCTGCGCTCGGAGCCCCGTAACGGCTGTGCTGTGCGTTTGCCGAAGCGGCTATCACAAAGCGGCCGCAGCTGCTCCCGGGGTCAGAGCGGAGGATATAACGTTAACGTTCGGTTTATACAAACATATCACAATTTTAAATGTATGAAACTAGTGAATTTCACCTAGATATTTTCAGAAACAGGTTTTCTCAGATCGCATCACATATTTTATATATATATATATATATATATATATATATATATATATATATATATATATATACACATACATACATATTATATATATATAAATATATATATATATTAAATAACTGCAGGGAGCAAGATGCTGGCAGGGAAGGCCTACATGGAACGCCATAACCATGAACTGTAAATATTCACGGACGTAGTCCCGCCTATCTCCGCTGTTCAAACAAATGGGCCAAAAATTATGCTCTACTGGAGCTATCCAAAATGGCCGCGACTTGTCCCGCCCACAAGAAAATTGTGAAAAAACGCATCTGCATATGCGTCAGCCGGCGCGAGCCCGATTAATTTAACGAGTGCCTCCAAAAATTCACAACAAAAATTCCAAGAGCCAACTTTTGGACCATCCTGTAAAGACGTTTTTGAGAGGTAAGAAGATGCTATATGTTAGCATTGGCTAATTCTTATTGCGGGTCAACCCCCATCGGCCTGGCGTGGTA